GTAATAAAAAAAAATGGAGTGTCCTGATGTAAAATTGTAATCTAGAAATGCCCCAGCAGACAGAGGTAGATGTGGAGAGGAAATGAGATGGGGAAAAGAAAGGTAGCTGGGGGCTGGGTCTCACAAAGCCCCGGTCTTCAAGGCAGGTGACCTGTACCTGGGTTCAGCATCTGCCCCTTTGGGTCTGACTCACCTGGGGCTAATTGGGGGCTGTCTTAGCCTCAGTTTCCCTAACTGTCAGATAATGTAGTTGGAGTCGATCATCTCCGATGTTGCTCCCATCCCTGATGTTCTAAAATTGTCCCCAGACACCTTCCCCAACCCCTCCTAATCCCGGCGCCATCCCTCTGTTCAGTATTTCCTATTTATCCTATATAGAACTGGCTTTGTATACATTTGTTTGCAAGGGGGTGCCCCCCCATTAGATTGTGAACTCTTCTGGGGCAGGGAGTGTCTTTTGCCTTTTTTTTTTTTAAATTCTTTAGCATAGTACCTGGCACATAGTACCTGGTGCTTAATAAATGTTGACTGATTGATTGATTGATTGATTGATTAAGCAGAGCCAGAACTGTATCAGAGGAGTAAACAACATTGAAGGGCCTTAGACTTCAGGGAATGCAGCAATCAGGGGTGATTTCAGGGGACTGATGGTAAAACATACTTTCAGCCCCTCAGCTGTTTAAAAAAAAGAGCAGAAATAATTTTTTAAAAATGCTCTTCCATGTTCCAAGATCCCTCCCAGCTTTTACATCCTGGGTTCTAAGGTCCTGCCCAACCCTAACATTCTCTGTTCTAAGGGCCTTCCCAGCTCTGACATTCTGTGCTCTAAGGCCTTTCCCAACTCTGACATCCTTGGTTCCAAAGACTCTCTGACATCCTCTGCTCTAAAGTTCCTCCCAGCTCTTACATTCTGGGTTCTAAGGTCCCTCCCAGCCCTGACATTCTCTATTCAAAGGTTCTTCCCAGCTCTGACATTCTCTGCTCTAAGATTCCTCTCAGGAGTTTGGGTAAACCAGAGATCCTAAAAGTCATATTAATACTCTATGAAAGAAAGGAATTGATAGTGTGACCACTGGGAAAGTCCCAGTCTGGCAGACAGATAGGGCCTCTCCTGTCCTGCCCCTCGACCTCCTGGGGCACACAATATGTATTGATAGCTTATTCCTCTACTAGATTGTGAACTCCATGAGGACAGACTGAGCTTAATCTGTCATTCTCCAAGAGTTGAGCAATATTCTGAGTGGAAGGGACCTTAGAACATAGAACATAGAATGTCTGAGCTAGGAGGATCCTTAGAACAGAGTGTCAGAGCTGAGAGGAACCTTAGAACACAGAATGTCAGGGCTGGGAGGATCCTTAGAACACAGAATGTCAGAGCTGGGAGGGCCCTTGGGAAACAGTGTCAGGTCTGGGAGTTTTCTTAAACTTAGGACATAAAATGTCAGATCAGGGTAGAACCTTAGAACAGAATGACAAAGTTATATGTTGCCATAGAAAGCAGAATGTCAGAGCTGGAACCTAAAAGACTATTTAATCTTAACCCAAGCTCTGTGAACTTTTACAAATACATATTTTGCTAATGGTATTTGAATAGAACAGGCTTCCTTTGGAAGCCTCTGCATTTTATTTTATGCATTTAAAAACATGATTCTGAGAACAGGGCCTTGGCTGCACCAGATTGCCAACAGGATTTAATCAGTCATTCAATAAATATTTATTAAGCACTTACTATGTGCCAAGCACTATGCTAAGCTCTGGGGATAAAAAAAAAAAGAGGAAAAGATAATCCCTGACCTCAAAGAGTTTCCAGTCTAATGGGGAAGACAACAAGCAAACAAGAACCCTCCCAGGCCTGACATCCCATGTCCTAAGGGCCCTCCCAGCTCTGAGGTTGTGTTCTACTCTCCCAGGTATGACATCCCACATTCTAAGGACCCTTCCAGGCCTGACATCCCATGTCCTAAGGTATAGACAGGAAAAATTCAAAGATAATGAAAAGAACGAAGGCACTGGAAGGAAGAGAGGCTAGGAAGAGCTTTCTGTAGAAGATGGTTTTAGTTGAGTCTTAAAGAGAGCCAGAGAAGCCAGTAGTTGAAGAGGAGGGAGAGCGTTCCAGGCATAGGGGTTAGTCAGAGAACATGCCTTGAGTTGAGAGATAGAGTGTCTTGTTCAAAGAACAGCCAGGAGGCCAAGGTCACCAGATGGAAGAGTATGTGGTGGAGAGTAAGGTGTAAGAATATACACCTTGGAAAGGTATATGGAAGGAAGCTAGGCCGTGAAGGACTTTGAATGCCAAGTAGAAAATTTTGTATTTGATCTTAGAGGTGATAGGGAGCCAGTGCAGAATGTGAGGAACGGGGAATGTGACATGGTCAGACCTACATTTTAGGAAAATCACTTTGGTGGCTGAATGGAGGATGGATTGGAGTGGGGAGAGACTTGAGGCGGGCAGACCCCTCCCTCTCCCCAGCAGCATTCCAGGTGTGAGGTGATGAGGATCTGCACTAGAGGGGTGGCAGTGTAAGAGGAAAGAAGGGGGTGTATTTGAGAGATGATACAAAGGTGAAATCGACAGGCCTTGGCAGCAGATTAGATATGGAGGATGACAGATAGCAAGGAGTCCACGCTGACCTCCAGGTTGGGAGGATGGTGTCATCCTCTACGTCATAGGGAAGGTTGAAGTGGGGGAGGGTTCCGGGGAAAAGCTACTGAGTTTGGTTTGGACATATTGAATTTAAGATGTCTGCTGAACATCAAGATGTCCACATATCTGAAAGGCAGATGTGAGATGTGAGACTGGTCAGCAGAGAGGTTGGGGCAGGACAGGTAGATTGGAGAATCATCAGCACTGAGATGGTCATTCCATCCATGAGAGCCAAGGAGATCACCAAGGGAAGAGGGAGGAGAGAAGCAGATGCAGGGACACCTGTGCTGTGACCTGGAAGAGGATCCATCAAAGGAGATGGAGAAGAAGCAGTCAGATGGAAGGAGAACTGGGGACCCCGGAAGAGCAAGGAGAAGAGGGTGATCAGCAGTGTAAAAGGCTTCAAAGAGGAGGTTAAGAATGAGGATTGATCTAAGTCCAAGGAGGCTAAGAAGAAGGCCCCTAATCTAATCCAACTCCCGTTTTACAAATGGGGGAAACTAAAGCCTAGAAGAGAGTGACTTGGATAAAGCCAAATGGGTAAGTAGTGGCAGAGTCGAGGTTCTCCCCACTGTACCAAGGTTTTAAGGGGCATCTGCCTGAGTGGATCCCTCCTGCTGGTCACCTTAAGGTCTCAGGTTCTGCTTGGGGTAGGGGATGGTATGAGGTCCCCCTTGCCCTCCCTCTCCTCAATCCTCCATACCACCTCAGTCCTTCCCCCCACCCCATCAGCAGCAGCTGCCGACATTTCCTGTCCTGTACCAGGAAGGAAGGGGGGGGGTGGCGGCCATGCCTAGCCTGGGGCTCCTGTCAGCAACTTCCTGAACCCTGACCCCAGCCCCATCAGCTAAGAACCTGCCTTCCTGGCAAGCCTGGCCCCTACACCACCCACACTGAGCCCATTTACTTCAGGCAGGACACCTGGTCTGTTTGTGGTGCACAGAAACACCCCAACCCCCACATTCAGGGAAAGTGGGAGAACTCTTGGAAGGGAGGACACCCTGCCTCTTTCTCCACCTCCTAACATCCGGCTGGAGGCCTGTTCCAGGCCCCAGAAGTTTGTAATGCTCACCTCCGCCTGCCCCCCCCAAAAAAGCAAAGGTGGTCCCCCTCACTACCCTGGTGCTGCTGCTCCTGGCACGCTGGCGGGCCTTGGCCAAATCACCTGGCCTGCCTGGACTCCCTGTTGTTGAAAGAGAGAGGGGCAGAAAAGAGGGAAACTCCCAAAGTCTGTCCATGTAAGTAATCAGAAGACCTGGCTACATTACCAGGTGTGTAAACTCTCAGAGACTCAGTTTCCTTATCTATAAAACAGGAATCAGACCTGCTTACCTCATGGAGCTGCTATTGAAACATTAAGCGTGCTCAAGGAACAGGGAAACAGGACTTGTTTTTCACCTGCCTCTGCACCCAGATACTTTGTTCTAACATCCTTCCCAGCTCTGTCATCTGTTCTAAGGGCCCGTGTCTGACATTGTGTTCTAAGGGCCCTCCCAGCTCTGACATTGTCTTCTAACGGCCTTCCCAACTCTGACATTGTGTTCTAAGGACCCTCCCAGGTCTGATATTATCTTCTAGGGAACCCTCCTAGTTGACATCCTGTGTTCTAAGGGCCCTCCCAGCTCTGACATCTCACATTCTAAGGACCTTCCCAGGCCTGACATCCCATGTTCTAAGGGCTCTCCCAGGCCTGACATCCCACGTCCTAAGGGCCCTCCCAGCTCTGAGGTTGTGTTCTACTCTCCCAGGTATGACATCCCACATTCTAAGGACCCTTCCAGGCCTGACATCCCATGTCCTAAGGGCCCTTCTAAGGACCCTCCCAGGTCTGATATTGTCTTCTAGGGATCCTCCCAGCTGACATCCTCTGTTCTAGGGGCCCCCCCAGCTCGGACCCTTTGTTTTGAGCCCACAGCAGACACTTGGCTCTGGGCACCCTGACTGCAGGGCTTAGCGTAAGGCCCCCCTGCACACACTCTGGGAAGACATTTGAGCCCCATGAGGCTGCAGCCTGGGCAGAGCCTAAGGGAGGTACAGCCTGTTTTCAGGGTTAGCTGTACATAGTAAGTAGAGGTAAGTGGTGGCTGGTGGTGTTCAAATCATCGCCACACCTGAGGCATCCAGACTAAAGCCCAGATGGGCACCTTAATAGCACTGATGGCAGTGGACAGGGAAGCTTGGACAACAGAGGACAGCATTCACTTGCAGGCTCCCCAGATACCAGCTTAGCTGGTGCTTTGATGTCAGACCAATCCCCTTGTCCTTCTTGACCTCAGTGCTCCCAGGACTGCCCAGTAAGCCCTACGAAGTCTTGGCCCCCTGAAGCAGCCAACCCACCCAATCAAGATGACTCCAGTTTGTGTTTCACGGTCTGTTTATTATTTTAAAATCATGGTGGGCGGTTTTCTCCTCTTACTGTCTGGTTCTCACACAGGTAACATGGACAAAGGGAGTGCAGGGGAGAGGGGAGGATGGTGGGGGGCCAAAGGCTGTGCCCAAGCCCACCAGGGAACACTGGGAAATAATGCTCTGCACGTGAGTCCCTAGCCCTCATGGGCAAGAGACTGGTGGCATGGTGTGTGCCCACTCCCATTCCCCCCTCCAGGTACGCCTTGCCAGGACAGGGGAGGTCTGTGAAGCAGGCATCAAAGGAATTCAAACAAAAACAAAATAAAACAAACGGACATTTAAATAGAAATCCAAATCTTAAAAAAAGAAAAAAAAACACCCCACAAAGCTCGAGTTTTGACTTTTTTCTCCCTTTGGAAAAATGTTAAGCCTTAAGCCTCGAGCCTCCCCCCACCCCCACCCCCAAAAAATAATTACAAAGCTACAGAGGGACACACGGATGCTCACATCTGGACACGAGGTGTCGTCACAAGACCAAGGGAAGGGAAGGGGTCTCTAGGCTGGGAGGAAGGTGGCGGGGAATGATCAGTGAGGTCCTGGCTTTCCCTACTGATGGGAGGATGGAGGGAGGGGTGGGACACAGATGGTAGAATGGGGAGGCAGGGTATGGAGGGAAGGACAGAAGGGGGCAGGGCCCAGACAGCTCAGTCCATCTCCGTAAAAAAGAAACAAGTAATTTAATAAAATAAAATCCATTGAAATGGCCCCGTGGGGAGGGAGATTAGGGGGAAGAGAAGTCTCCCACCCCACCCCCGTGCCCCCAGCCCTGGCATCTATTTCTCCCCCAGCAGGGGATGTGGCCACTAGGGCGGCAGCAGCGAGCTCAAGAGGGAGAGGGCTCTGAGTGGGCCCTCAGGGGCTGGCCAGGCTGGGAAGAAACAGAGGGTGGGGGGCAAAGGTGGGGCAAGGCCAGGAGGGGCCTGTCCCCTCCCCCAAATGGGGTTAATGCTACAAGGCCATGCCCCTCCCCCACTTGGGTTGGGGGGGGGTGTCTCCCCAGGCCACCTCCTCCTGTGGGCAGCTGGTCCTCCTACCCCCCCGGGGGGAGGGGCAAATAGCAAGCTCCCCACAACACACAGATCAGGCGAGCAAGAGAAGGGGATAGAGCACTCCTTCCTCCCCACTCCCTTCTCTCCCAGGGCCTGAGGAGAGAGGCTCAGATCTGAAACTGGCTCAGTCAGACAGTCAATTTACTCTATAAATACCCCAGCCCAGGCAGGGGGGTCAGAAAACAGAGAGGGGAAGAGGAGGCAGGGCAGGGAGATGAAGGTTCAGGGCAGGTGGTGCATGGGAGAAAGGCCGAGGTGGGCGGAGAAGAGACACCTCTGGCCTTCATTCTTGTCCTCTCCCTCTGGGAGGAGTGGGAAGGAAGACCCAACTCCCAGGCAGGCTGGCCTGTTCTGCCCCGCCCACTCCAAGTGGGCAGTACCCTGGAGGAGGAGGAGGTATGAAGGGGATGGGGTAGAGAGAACTAAAAAAACCTCCCCCAGGAGGGAGTCAGTCCCAAGGCCAAAATCTCCAGCAAAGGCCTTAAAAAACCAAAACCAACCAAAAATCCCAACCACACGGCAACAGGACCCCTGGGGAGCCAGAAATAACCCAAACTAGGGGGATGCCAGCTGCTCTGGCCAGTGTGGGGCCTGGCTGCTGCACTGGCCTGGAGTGGAGGCTGGAGCTCTGGGGAGAAAGCATCCTCCCACCCCCTCCCCAAATCTGTAAAGTGCACTATGAGTCTGTTCAATTAGGTATTGTCTACTTAGACCTGAAGGGGTGAAGGGTGGGGGTGGGCTGCTGGTGGAGTCTGTTTAGCTCACTCAAACCATCTGGCACAATGCTACATATGTGGAGGGAGGAAGAGAGGGGAAGGGACAGCCCCAGGGCAGGGGGGCTGGGTTTCCCTGGGTACAGGGGTGGCCCCTGGTGGGATTCTGGCAGAGGGGAAAAAGGGGAAAAGAGGGAAGAGAGGGAGGAGGCCAGCCAGGAGGACCAGCCACAGTCTGTTGGGGATACAGGGGTGAGGCTGGGATGCTGAGACTGAGCCTCAGACTGAGGGAGACAACCCTTGGCCCTCTGGCCTGCCATCCCCACCCCCCCGCCCCTGAGAAATTAAGGGGACACTACTGGGGGCCAGGGGCAAAGATGGGGGGGGGACAGGCAGACAGAGCCAGCCCTCCGTCTGGATCTGGGGCCGGGAGGGGAATGCCGCTGGGGCAGACCCTAGGCCACCACGAACTCTGACTTGAGGTCTGCCTTGACCTCAGGCTTCCAGAGCGAGTCCTCAAAATCGAGGTCTAAGCCACCAGCATCACTGGCCCCACTGCTGCTGCCGCTGCTGCTGCTGCTGGTTGCCCGGCCTGCCTTGCGGCCCGAGAGCCAGTGGTAGGGGCCTCGGGCATCCCGCCGGGCCTTCCGCCGAAGGCGCTTCTGCTGCAAGAGCAGCTGCAGACGTTCCACCTTACACCGAGTGGCCCGGTTCTCCGTCTGCCGCAGGCGATCCCCTGTAAATCAAGGGTCCCGGATGAACATGTGTGTTCATGCTTGTCACAGTGGGGAGGCTGTGCTGAGCCCTTCACTATTCAGCGGACCAGGCCCCCAGGCCTGGGAGTCACGAGGGCAAGGGAAAGCCTGTCTCTGCCCTGGTGACTGTTACCCTGGATGGGCATCTGCCCCTTCTCTGAGCTTCAGTAGGATAAGTCTCTAGGTCTCTTCTAAATCCCTCAGCAGGAGAGATCAAAGATCCTTCTTCTGGAAGACTTGGCCAGGAGAGGGGATTATCAGATTCACAAAACTTAGGGATCATTTCGTCTAACTCAGCCATTTTACAGATAAGAAAACTGAGGCTGAGAGAAGAGGAAGTGATTTCCAAGATGACCCGGGGATGCGGTAGGAGAGTCTGTGGGGACAAGGGCCCCTGGCTCCTAAATGCAGAGAATGCCAGAGCTGGCAAGGATGCAAGCTGTTGCTATCTGCCCCGGGCTCCCTGTGGTAATGCTGCTCCTTGACATGCCCCTGGAGCTCCCCGCTAGGCAGGCTGGGTGCTGAGTGCCTTCCCTGTACCACAAAAGCTAGGCCCTCTCCTAGCCCAGGGAGGAGGGGGACGCTGTTACAGGTGACCTCTCTCCCTGCCCCCACCCCTATCCCCTAGGGATCCCTAAGCAGGGGAGGTGGGTGGTGGAAGAGAGCCCAGGCAGTCCCCAGAGATCAGCTCTATCTCCTGCCCAAGAGACAGATGGCTAGAGGACCACGTGGCCTCTCCCAGGGCCTGGGACTGACCCCAGAGATTCCTGAAGAAAGGACATTGGCCTTGGAGTGGGGGAGACAGGACATATCTGTGCAGGCCTGGCTGAGAACTGATGTTCTGTCTCCAAACCAAGCTTTGGGAGGTTGGTGGAATTTAAAAGCTCTTTGAGGGTAGGAAGTGTTCAGAATCAAGAACCTACCCTCCATACAGTAGGCACTTAATAAGTGCTGAATTAAAAAGAAGCAGCAGCGCTTGCATTAAGAGATACACTGCCATTAACAGGGCAAAGGAATGTGGCCTTGGCCACGGCTTTCTCAGGGCCTCAACATCAGTATGAGGCTTGGGTCAGATCATTCCTTTTTCAGTATCATAGAACATTCATGCCCCAAACTCCGCAACACAGTGGTGGCCCTGTGAGTAGCCAGTTCCTCACTGAGAGAATGCAGGCTGGCATTTCAGTAAACCTGCTGGCCCCCTGACTGGGAAACCCGCAGCTCCAACAGCCCGTCATCGCAGCTTCCTGGGATTCTAGATTTAGAAATGAGAGGGGCCTTAGCCACCATCTGGCCCAAACCCCTCCTTGGACAGGTCAAGGCCCAGGGAAGGGAAGGGCCTTGCCCGCAAGAGCAAGTCTGAGAGGTGGGATTTGAACTCAGGCCCTCTGGGTTCTTGCTATTGAACAATGCTGGTTCCTTCCAACATTCTCTCTTCTAAGGTCCCTCTCAGTTCTGAAGTGGGATTATCCCCTTGGAGGTGATCTGGGGATCACCAGCATCTTACTGTTTGGTTGGACTCCATACAACATGTAGTGGGTGCCTACTCTGTATTGGGCATTGTGTTAGGTGAGGGGAGGGGACAAAGACCAAAGTTGACCTAGAACACCAGGTGATCTAAGGGCTCTCCCAATTCTGCTATGGTGTTCCAGGCTCTCCCTCTTCTGCCATTTTCTGTTCTACAGGCCCTTCCAGTTCTGACATTCTCCTATGAGCTAAGGAAGGAAGGAATTGTGGGGGAGGGGGGATCCCCTTTAATTCTTCCCTGGTATAGAACACATCCTGTCTCAGAGAAAGGGCAGATTGTCCCTCTTCCTTCTCTTAATCCAGGCCCCCTCTGATTTCCCCTCCCCCCACTGCCTCCACCCCCCCCACCCCCCTCAATAGGACCTTTGTCTGGCCTGGTGAAGGTGGGGGTGAGGGGGCTGGAATTGGCCTCTCCTCAATCACCCCTGCCAGAGACTAACACCCTTCCTCTGCCCCCTCCTTGCACCCAGCACTATGGGGGGAGAGAAGGAAAGGATAGAAATTAATATATGCAGATTAATTCTCTCCCTACCCATCCCCCATCTGAATATGCTCACAGTCCCCTACTGTGTTGGGGGGGGGAGAAGAAAAGAAAAACGGAGCAGATGGGGGAAGGGGATGGAAGGGAACAGACTGGGGGGGGAGGGGAAGGAAGGAAGGAGGGAGAACCCATTCATAAAAAGCCTGCTAACTTATACTGGGGCCATCTGGCCCCAGGAACCTCAGAGTGTTAACCCCTTGGGGGATGGGGATGGGGAGAGAAGGGCAGAGCACAGCCAGGCTGGGACTTCCAGCCCTTTCTAAAGGTCCTGAATGCTGGGGGCTGCCCTAGGGAAGCTGATCCCCTTCTCCCCTCTCCTCTTGGCCAGTTGCTCTACTCTGCTCTGGCCCCTCCCAGGGGCTCAGACAGAGGAGCCTCCGAGGCTTGTGGGTAGCCCTGCTGGGGAAGGGGAACCCAATGGCCTCAGCCTTGGTTATCCCCTGGCCCAGATGTGCGGGCACTCACCACTGGGCTTGCACATGCGGATCTGGCTCTGGACCACGGAGTGCAGCGGGGACGTCAGCTTCTCGCAAGAGGTAGCTTTGGTGGTGAGCTCGGGGGAGGGCGAGCACTGGGTCTGGCATCGAAGCTGGGCCAGGGACTGGGGCATGCCCTGGTAGTGCCTCGTGGCACTCAGGAGGTCATTGAGAATCTGCAGGATGGTGCCGATGTCCCGCCGAGGGCGGCCGCTGCTGTCCTGGCAGTTTGGATGCAACGTGCCTGTGGGAGGCAAGGTAGTGGATGCGTTGGACCGACCAAGTCCTTCCCTGGTGCTAGGGAAGGGGGTGGCTGGCAGAGCCCAGGGGCACAGAGGGAGGTTCTGGGGCCTGAGAAAGGAGGAGAAGGGAGGAGGGGTCTGCCACCTACAACGAGATGACTCCTTCCTAATCTGGGCCTTGCTTTCTTCCTCCGTAATATGAAGAAATTGGAAAAGATTTTCCCTAAATGGCCAGGTGGTGACCAAAGATTACACTCTCCAGGGAAGCGAGGGGACTGGGAGAGGGAGAAGATGGAGAGCAGCTAGGATGGGAGTGCTCAAGACAAATTCAGCTAGGGGCAAAGAGAGAGTCGAGTGGCTATGTGGGCATACGGCACAGAGGGGAGAAACCTGTGCTAGGGGTCTACCCTGGCTTCCCATTGGTATTTTGGGGTTTCTCCTCTCAGGACCTCAGTCTTCCCCTATATAACACAAGGGACTTGGACTAGATCTCTAAGGACCCTTCCAGCTCTGATATTCTGGGTTCTGAGGACCCTCCCACCTCTGACGACCCATGTTCTGAGGGCCCTTCCAGCTCTGACATTCCATGTTCTAAAGGCCCTCCCAGTTTTGACACCTGTGTTCTAACTAAGGGCTCACCCAGCTCTGACATTCTGGGTTCTGAGGGCCCTTCCAGCCCTGACATTTTGCGTTCTAAGGGCCCTCCCAGCTCTGACATTCCGTGTTCTGAGAGCCCTCCCAGCTCTGACATCCTGTGTCCTAGGTTCTCTCTTAGTTCTCATTCTCCATCTTCATTTCTTCTAAGTTCATATCTCATGAGGGAATGAGTAGCTTGAAAACCTCTAGAAGGAGTATTGGGGGGTACCATGAACCTCAGTAATGGGCTTCAATCCATACCAGAGAAGGTCCCTGAGAAGACTCCTGGAGCATGGTTCACGAAGCTCTCAATGACGGCGCCAGGTTTCCGGGAGCGCGTGCTTGGGGCTGGGCTACTGCTGGGTGGGGAGGACAGGGTGGTGGTGGCGGAGGAGGGGCTGGTGCTGCTGCTATGAGAGGCACAATCCACCTGCCAGGAGAGACGAGGGTCAGCTCCAGAGTATCACATTTCAACCCCCAGGCCCCATTCAGAACCTGCAGCACTTCAAGGTCTACAATTGCTTTTCTCTCAACAGCCCCGTTAGGTAGGAAACATTCAATCTGTTTGCGCCCATTTCATAGATGGGACAATTGAGGCTCAAAAGTGAAGTCCCCAGAGTCAATCAGCCAGCCAATACTAAAGCTGGGATTTGAGGCCAGTTAGGTTTCTGACTCCCAAGACACCACAAGCTGCCTCTCTGGACCTGGCAGAGTGGCCATGAAGTCCAGTTTGGAGGTGGTGGGGGGAAAAAAAGATGGGAGGGGAAATAGGAGGGAGCCAGAGCCAGTCTAGCATAGCAAGAAGAGCCAAGATGTACAGTCAGAGGACCAGTATTCAAAAATCCAGGCTCTACCACTTACTAGCTATGTGACCTTGGGTTAGTCAATTCCCTCCTCTGGGTGTCACTTGCCCCATCTACAAAATTAAGGGGGCATACTAGACTATGTCTGAGGTCTCTTTCAATAGTGACCTCCATGATTCTTGGAGTGGCCACCCCGGCAGAGGCTGGGTTCCTCCCCTAAAATGGGTTCAAGACTTGTATCTAGGAATCTAAGCTCAGCGTGGGGGATGGGGCCAGCAGTTCCTCCTCCAGTCTTGCTCTGCCCTCCCCATCTCTGAAATGGGGGCCCAGAATCACCTCAGAACAGGAGGAAACTGTGCCACTGTTAACCGTTTGGGTGCTGGCGCCATGGGACCGGAACACGCCGGACGTGACGGGCGAGGAGTGGGCAGGGCTGAAGTAGGCGGGCGTGCTGGAGGTTGAGGAGGGGCTGGGTGGGCAGGCAGGCACGGGGACGCGGGCGGTGGCAGCAGCAGCAGCGAGGCTAGATGATCGGCAGGGAGAAGGGTTGCTGGTTGTGGCCCCTGGGTCCCCGCGCCCTGCCACGAGGTGTTGGCGATGCTGGAGCTGGGCACCTGCAGCTGCCTGCTGGGCAGCCAGTTGTAGCTGCACAAACATCATGTGGTCACCTACTCGGAGGGCCAAGGTGAGCGGGGAGCGGCCCGAGAGGAAGTCGCTGACCTGTGCGGGGAAGGAAGGAGGGAAGCGGTGAGGGCGGCAAATCCTGCCTGTCCCGGCAGGCTGCGCCCCACTGCCTCGGAGGTAGAGGTCCCTGGGGACTCTACCCATTGTCCCAGACCTTGGGAAAGGCCCGCCTGGTTCACAGTTTCCCTATCTGTAAAACGAAGAGACTAGACAGGCCCTCACAGCCCTGATATTCTGTTCTAGGGGGCCTCCCAGCTCTGACACCCTGGGTTCTAAAGCCATTTTCAGCTTTGACTTTCTAAGCTTCCCAAGGTTCTGTCCCAGCTTAGATTTTAGGGTTCTAAGTCTTAATCTCAGAAGCAATCACTACCATAGAACAGTACAGTTCTGAGGGGGCAGGGGTAAATCAGGACAGCAGGATCAGAATGTCCCCTTGGGTTCCCTGTCCTTCCGTCCTTCTCCCAGGGCAGGGCGCCCCTGCCCCCCAAGGTCAAAGCTCTGTGGCACTCCCAGGACTAGGCCCCGTCACCCCAGACCCACCCAAAAGGAAGATAACCAGGTACAGCTGTTCCCCACTGAGGGTAAGAGGTGGGGAAACCCAAGAGCCAAAGTCCAGGCTGGGAGAGTGACTCCCCCCCATCCCATTTTTCCTGCCTGACTATCACATTCCCAGACACTGCCAGATCCAGGAGCCACGGGCAAGAGCCCAAACTTTGGAGGCAGGAGGCTAGGGCCTGCCCCATGTAGGACCTAATAACTCCACTCCTCTGCCCCGGGCTTCCAGTGTTTCCCTAGGAAGCTCTGTGTTTAGTGATCTCTGGTCACTAAAGGCCAGGGGTCTCCCTGACCCCCCCCCCTTGCAGAACCAGCCCCAGGCAAGTCCTCAGGCAGAATGAAGGGAAGACCCAGACCCAAAGACCCTGGGGCCTGTGCCAAGGGTCACGATCTCATTATACAAGAGCAAGTCCTAACCATACACATATAGTATCCCTGGACACCAGTGGAGCCCCTGTCGAGAGAGGCAGGTAATCCTCCTGTCTGATCCCCTAATAAAAGGGGGAAGGGGTCCCTCCTCTTCCTTGGAAGGCAGAGAACACAATGTTCTTGGAGGTGGGGGTCCCAGTGAGACAGACAGACACACACACACACACACCTGTTTCCTTCCCTGCTCCCCTCTCATCCCCATCCCCAGCTCTAGGCCACAAGTTCAAGAGGAGAAGTGCTCCCCTCCCCCCCATCCACCTGCTGGTAAGGTACCAGAGATAAGCAGAGACACAACTCAGCCATTAGAAGCCCTGTCACACTCCTGCCCTCCCTTACATCCCAGAGTTCCTAAATCCTTTCTCAACTGTTTTTTTCTGGAAGAGAAGGGACCCACCCCTGCCATTTTCCTGGCCCACAGAGGCTAGGAATTTGCCTCTTGGCCCTATCCTGGGAGCCAATGGTTGTCAAGGCAGGGTAGCCTTCGAGCCAGGAGGGGTAGCAAAGAGAGGCAGACAGGGGCCCTCTAAATACCACCCCCTTTTCCTCTCCCCCCATCCCAGCTTCCCACCCTGCCCCCCTCTCCCCCCGCCCCCCAACCCTGGCCTTAGAAGCCAATGAGTGGGAGGGAAAATTCTTGGACAAATTCTTCTGTTCTAACCTTTGCTTCCTCAAGATAAATATTTATCTGTCCCAGCCCGGCTGAGGCATGGGGGTGTGTGAGGGGAGGGCTGATCATTCTAGGCTGGGCTTTGGGGAGAAGTCTAGGACCCACACACAATGGTCCCTAGACAAAGCCCCTGGGATCACTAGGACTGGACATACTAGGCAAGGGCCAGGGCAGGGAGTGGGAGGGCCTGTCCCTGAAAGGATCCTGGGCCCCAGGGCCAGTCATTCTACTTGCTGTTATCATTCCTCCCTCTCCTCAAATACAGTGGCCTGACCTCTGGAAAAGATCATACTTCACAGAATATCTGAACCCTAGGAGACACCAGAGAGATCACAAAAGGGGAAACTGAGTCTCACAAAGGGCAAGAGAGCCTTATCCAAGGTCACACAGCATGCCAGTGTCAGACTAGGCCCCTTGAGGGCCCCTGCCAAACTATGAGACTGCTTCCACCCCACCTCCATCCTGAGGAGATGGGCATTGTCAGGCAGAGGCTTAGTGCCTGCTTTTAATGCCTCCCACCCCAAAGCTGGTTCCTGCCCAGGGGATGGAACCTGGCAGTTAGGACCAGGGCCACTGCTTCTATTAGCATCTGCCTCATCTTCCCCAGGGGCCTGGGATGGGGGGAGCAGCCCTCTGATTCTCAGAAGTGACAGAGGGGATGACTCAGAGAACACTGCCTGCTCTGCCCTCCCGCCCTTCTTCCTTCCCTCTCTTCTGGTAGTTCTGACCAGGCCAGCTAATCTGGGTGACCTCCTCAAAGGGTCCTCCCTACCTCTTCCAGCCCAGCCCAGCCAAGTGTGCACCTCAAGCACTTGGCTGGGGAGGGGGAGACTGGACAACTCTCTAGGAGCCACATCCCCCCTGCCTCGGTCTTTCCACCCTTCCCCACCCAGAGGGAGCTGCCCAACCCTCTCACTGGCTGACCCCCACCAAAGAAGGTGCTGACCCCAGTGAGGTGGGAGCAGGGTCACAGAGAGACTCGGAGAGGAGGAACCTCCCTGCCTCCCTCCAGTCCGTGTCCTTCCCCACCCTCCACCCTCACCCTGCTCGCCTCCCCAGCCCATTTCCTCCCACAGGGAGAGATGACACAGTGGCTGTCGGGAAAGCAGCCCTGAGGGAACCCTGTCACTGGCCCAGGTCCTCAGGCGCCTGGACGCTAGCACACTCACCCCTCCCACCCCGGTGAAGCCTGACGCACGCACGGCTGGGCACGGCTGGAACGGATGTGATGGGGTGAGGCTTCCTCCAGAAAGCCCCCCCTCCCCTTTGCTCCTCCTGCCCTCCCCCTACACCAGCCAGCGGGAACTGCACCCTGCTCCTGTTCACACACCCTGTGGGGGGGGGGGGCTGGGGGGAGGGCGGAAGTCACCCCTCCCTTTCTCATCTACTAAAACACTCCTCCCTCTCCACCCCCAAGGCTGGGGTGCTGGGCCTAGGTCTCCTCTTTGTCCCCAACTAGGAATCCACCTGGCGTGTAACCTGAGCCCTGGAGGCACCCCCCCTCAACTCCACACACAGCCCCTCCCATTCCTGCCATCTCTGCAGATTACTTACACCAGGCCTGCTGGCTCTCCCAGGAGGCCCTGGGCAACACAGGCAGAGGGGAAGCTTCCTCTGTCCCCCTCCCCCCAACATGAAACTATGAGCCCTGGGGGGGAGTTGAGGGGGGAACTAGGGGGAGAGAGAAGCCACTGATGGAAGTGGCAGAACGGGTTTATGCCTGGCTCTGGGCAAGAACGGCCTTCTCCCACCCACCCACCCACCCACCCCCTCTTCTCTACTTCTGCCTTGCCTTCCCCACCCCCAGCGGCCCTGGCATCCTAAGGATTTCTAAGCACTGTGTCAGCCTCCTCCTCCTCTTCTCTCCCTCCCAGGAGGCTGGAGCCAGGGCCAAGAGGAGAGGGTGGGAGCCCCCAATTCCAAAACAACCCCATTTCCCTAAAGAGAGGTCTTGGACACAGTCAGGCAAAACTGGGCACAGAGCTCCCAGGGCAAGGGCATGAAGGGAGCTGGCCAAGAAAGGCAAGCCTCCCTGATTACAAAACATTTTCCTAACATCCTGTCCCTACCTCAAGCCATTTCTGGGCCTAGGACACCCAGAGAAGCATCCAGACACCCTGCCTGGAACTCTGACCTCCTCACATGGCTCCTGCCTTCCTGGCATGACAGAGGGGGCCGGGTGGCCAAGGAATAAGGCCCCCCCCATACACACAATAAACAAGGTCACAGAAGAGGTTTGCTTTGGGGGGAGGAGGGAGAGGAAGGGTTGCTCTTTGCTGACGCACAAACTCTGGGGGGTGGAGTCTGTCGGAGAGTCAGGGTGGCTGAGAGGGGGAGAGGTACCCTCCCAGGCATGGAGGTCCCTCCCTCCTCTTCCTCTCAGGGGAGGGTTTTTTGCTTCACAAAATTCTAGCAATGAAATCCTTCTAGAAGTCAACAGGAGCTAAGGGGGGGAAGGAATGGGGGAGATGGTCAGCCCAATCCCAGGGGGAAGATCAGGGGGAGGGGGCCAGACCAGAGATGTCCTGGCCCTAGGGAAGAAGCAAAGGAACCAGTCCAAGTCCTGGTCAAGAAGGGTTTTGAGAAAGGAAGGGCTCAGCCTAGAGATAAACTCTAATCCCAGAGGAAGAGAGGGTGACCCCCCATCCTAGATGGGCTGCTGAGGCCAATGGCAGGGAACAAAAAGGAATGGGGGTGGTCCTGGACCAGGCCAGGTGATCACTGAGGGGAAAAATCATTAGCTTTAGTCCTCAGTCACATCTCCAACACTCCCACGGCCGGCCGAACCTCCCCCCACCCCCCAGTCCATTGCCCCACACTCCAGTGAAATGCGAGAGCAGTCTCACGCTCAGCCCTGTGGGAGGGGAACCTTTGAAGGGTAGAGCTGTTTGGGCAAGGAGGGAGCCCCAGCTCTGCAGGTCAGCATGTGGGGGAGGTGAAGGCCACTGTGACCTCGGGCCCCAGCCTGGTGCACACCGGCTCCCACCTGCTCCGGAGGCTTCAGGGGAAAACAAAGAGGGGGAGGGGGAGAACTGAGGTTTGGCCGCAAGACCCAGGGAGCGGAAGTGGTCCCCTTCCTTACCTGAGTTTCGGTTAAGCTCTCAAGTGCCTGCATTACGGACTGCTCGGGCCGAGAGGCCTGGGACTGAGAGAGAAGAGAAAGCCAAGGTCACTTGGGGTTCCTGCTGACAAAACCACAGTGGGGGGGGGGAATGGAGGTGGGAAGTTTCACTTCTGCACTTGGGGGAGGTAGGAAAAAGTCACAATGTGAGAGGCCCAAGTGAGAAGGCAACGAAAGGGGGTGAAGGTGAACAGACTCCAAGCCAAGGGCTAGGACTGCAGGGCCACAGAGAACCCAGTGGGGCCTCCTAGAGAGGGGAGGGAGGGGACAGGAACGGATCCCCCAAGGGGGATGTGTGATTATGCAGGGAGGAGAGAGAGGGAAAGCCTATGAGGCATCTCTCGAGCCTGTGTGTGTGCGCACCTGCTTGCATGAAGGAGAGAAGGTCACAAGCAGAGACTGGGTGACCACATACTGGATGCTGTAAAGGGCATTTCTGCCTGGATGCCAAGGGAGGCCCCTCTCTGCTGAGGATCAGTATATATGTGGGGGGGGGAGGCGGTCACAAATTTGACCTGGAAGGGACCTCGGAGGCCTTCAATTTACAGATGAGAAAACTGGCCTTACAGTGACTTGTTCAGGTATTAAGTGGCAGAGACTGGATTTGAACTCGGGATTCCAAAGCCAACGCTCTTTCCACAGAACCACAGGGAAGTAGTTAGGTAAGGAGGTGGGAGGAAAGGAGGAAGGGATGGATATACAGGTGGTCAGAAAGGTGGGGTGCAGGGATACACAGGTGGTCAGAAGGTGGGAGGAGATGAGACACAGGTGGGTCAGAAAGGTGGGGTGCAGGAACAGAGGTCAGGAAGTGTGGGAGGGGATATACAGAGGTGGCGGGCAGGGGCACACAGGAGGTGTGTTGAGGGACATTCGGGAGATCAGAAGGTGTGCATGGGAGGGACTAGGACCTGCAGGAGGGGTGTGTGTGTGTGTGTGTGTGTGTGTGTGTGTGTGTGTGTGTCTGTGTGGAGAGGGGCAAAAGGGAGAGTCCCTTCCCCCCCAATCAAGGTGTGGGAGCATCCTTTACCATGAGGCCGGCTTCCACAGTGGGGACGAGCGTCACCTTGCTGCCATCGCCCACACCCAGATCCTGTAGCTTCCCAGAACTGAGGCGTCTGTGCAGAGGGAGGGAGGGAAGAGGAAGAGAGAGGGGTGAGACTGAGTGAGGTGGTGGAGAGACGCAACTGTAGCAGAAGGGCTCGGGAGAGGAGGATGGGGCGGGGGAGAGACAGAATTGGAAGGCTCTCTTACACCAGGGCAGGACCCCAGCTGCTTCCAGAGGCAGGAAGCTGGCCTATTATTTAATCCAGACCAGGGTCACTCTGCTCATACTGCAGAGCCCACTCTCCTAGGACAAAAACAAACATAAACCCCAGTAGCATACACCCCACCCCCCACCTCGAAATTTACAAAACAGCTTCAGACAGTTACCAAGGGATTTTTAAATGTCTCACTGGCCAATCAAAAAACAACCTGCCCCAAGGAGGCCTCCTGGGGATCATTCTCCCCACTGCGACAGAGAGGGTAAACTGAGGCCTAGAGTAGAAAAGGGATTTGCACAAGTTCACACAGCTGCTTAAAGCCAGGCTTCCAACTCCCCAAGGTGGGCCTGGGGTAGGACAAAGCTTTCCTCTTTGTAAAGGAGCCTGCAACCATCAGTAGCCCCAGTCCTCCCACTGCTTCCCCCTCCTGGGGAGCTGTCCTTGTGAAAGGAAGAAGAAGGAGTAGACGAGGAAGGGAAGGTGCACTAAGGAGTCCTGGCTTTGTGCCCTGAACTGGCCAACGAGCTGCCCACCACACCATTCCACATCACTGCTGAGGTGCTCCAAGGCAGTCTGGGGGTGGGAGGGAGGCCATGGCCCATAGCTACTCCCCCTCCCCAAGATTCACTACCCAGTTAAGACTGTTCTCTAGATGAGGTTGGTAAGCAGCGTCTCTCCTCCCCCCATTTCCCGGCCACCAACAGGGCTCCCCTGCAGGATCAGCCCAGGGCTGCTCAGACAAAGGAGACCCCCCCCAAGCCCCTCCCCCACCCCTGGCCCGCCAGGCCCCACGGGGAAGGCCCCAGCCCAACCGGCCCCCTCCCTCCCTCCTTTTCTCTCTCCCTCTCTCTCTCCCCCAGGCCTCAGGTTATTTAAATAAAGGGGGGGGGGTGGATAAGCGGGAGAAGAGGCTCCCAGAGGCTGCCGGAGAGCTCCTACCTCAGAACAAAGGGGGGAGGGGGAGGGGAGACAGAGAGACAGAGAGGCAAACAGGGACAGAGAGACCCAGAGACTGGGCAAGGACAGAGAGACCCAGAGACAGGGGCTGAGATAGAAGCTGGAACAGGGACAGAGAGGCCCAGAGGACAGCCACCATGGCTCCCTACAGATCCAGCCCAGGCACCCCCCGGAAACTTTCTGCCATGAAAGGTTCACATTTTCCATTTTTAGCTGTCCGGGTTAAACCGCTGAAGCCTGGAGACTGTCGTTGTCGTCTCCTCCCACCTCCTCCTCCTCTTCCCCTCCCCTCCCGGAAAACTGCCCCCTTCACCCCCCCAAGAGCCACAGGCAGGCAAGCCCTGCAGTCGGGAATCAGATTTCGAAAGGGGAAGAGGTGAGGGGGTGGGAGCAACGCATGAGAAAAGGCTGCAGGCTTCGGAGCTAGGCAGGGAGTGGGGGGTGGGGGCATTGGGGGCTGCAGCCTTTGTGCTCGAAGTGGGGGGGGAGACAGAAAAAGAGAAAACGAGGAAGAGACATGGAGACAGAGACAAATGTTGAGGGGGGAGAAAGACAATCGAGACACAAGAGACAGACGGGGGGGGGCCCGGGGGAAGGGAGAAGAGACATTGAGATGAGACACCCAGGGACGGAGACAGGGAAGGAACACACACACACACACACACACACACACACACACACACACACAGAGGCGCAGAGGTCGAGAGATGGATAAAGAGGTCTACAGAGGCAGGAGTAGCAGAGAGAAGGAGACTGGGGGTGGGAGAGAGAGCAGGGGCCAAGAGGCAGAAAGGATAGAGGAGGGCGCGAGGAGCTCGCACACCCCTCCAGCCCTCTCCAGAAGCTCCCACCTCCTCCTCCTCCTCTTCCTCTGCTCCCTCCCCGTCTCGCCGCCCCCTTCGCCAAACCGGGAGCCCAGCGCGATATGGCCTTTGTTCGCTTGCGGGAGAGGGGCCCGGGCTGGCGGAGGGGAGATTAAAAGGGTCAGTACTTACGTCTCCTTGTAGAGCAGCGCCAGGCGCTCCTTGGGCACCTTCAGGCGCTGAGACAGGCGCCTCCGGAGCCCTTCCACCGTCTCCTCGCCGGGCACCGAGAGCTCATAGCGAGCGCCCGTGGTCGTGTTGATGCACAGATTCATTGGAGGTTCGGCCGCCAACAGCTCGCAAGGGGCAGCGGGGGCGGCTCCGCGCCGGCAGCTCCGGGCGCTGGGCTGCGGCTCCATCGGCGGACCCAGGATGTAGCCCAGCCAGGCGAGAAGCGAAGCGGACAGAAGTGGCCGATAGGGTCCCTGCGTCCTGGCTGGGCCCTTGCTTGTTCTTTCCCCGACCCAGCCGCCGCCAGGTCCTCAGTGGCGCTCGGCCGGCTCGCCTACCGGCTAACCCAGCAACAACAGTCCGGAGTTGGCAAGAACCGAACCCCTTCGCGGGAAAAGGAGACGGCGGAAAAGAGCGGCACCTTTCAAGGCTCTAGCCGAGGACGCGGCCTCCCGACCGGAGGGCGGAGCGTTTAAAGGGCCACTGCCCGGGAGCTGGAGGCTGGAGAGCCCGGGCGCGGGGGTGGGGGGGAGAGCAGGCGGAGGGAGGGGAAAAGAGGTTCACAGCCGCCTGCTTTCTCTGGCCTCCTCTCCCCTTCTCCCCGCCCCCCTCTTTCTCTCTCTCTTTCTCTGCCTCCAGCCGAACCTAGCAACAGCAGCCGCGGCCGCTCGCAGATGCTGCTGCGGCTGCTTCCCGCCGCCGCTCGGAGCTCTGGGGGTGAAAGTAACAAAAAAAAAGTTATAATGTATCAACGTTCTAAAGGGGCTGAGCCCGCCCCCCTTCCTCCTCGACTCCCCCCCCCGCCTCAGCTCTCTCATTCACTACTTACTCTGCCGGGCGCCGCTGACCAATCGCAGCGCTCCGAACGCCCCGGCGGCCCCCGCCCTCCACCAATCGCGGCCCAACCGGCTCTCCCCCCCACGTGGCAGCAAGAGCCAACCCCTTCCCCGCCTGTCTGGTAGCAACCCGCCAATCAGCTGGGCTCGGCTGCCCCTCCCCGCCCCCATCCCCTCAGCGCCCGTCCTCCCGCCCCCCTAGTAAGTCCCTCCCCTAGCCAGCCTTCCCCCATCTTCCCAGCCATTCATAATCTCCGAGCCCCACAACAAAGAGCTTGCTCGGGGAGCGGGCGAGCTGCGTGGGGAGGGGGCCCGGGAGGGTGTGCGGGGATTTTTCCTTCTTTTCCTTCCCCGATTTAGAATCTAATTAGAGGATAAGTCACCGCCGAGCTCCCAAAAATAAGCGCGGGGGCGAGAGGAGGCCAACACCCAGGCGCTAAGGAAGAAAGAGGGAGCCGCCCACGCAATCTGAGGAAGACACCGAGGTCCGCGTGGACCACAGACACTATTGTTCCCAGCATTGGGAAGAAATGGCCTCCCTTACCGCTCCACCATGAGAGAGAGAGAGAGAGAGAGAGTGTGAGTGTGTGTGTGTGGTGGAGGTGGATTTGAAAACGTCAAAATGGGGGCGCCGGGGCCCTGAAGCTTAGGGTCCAAAGCCATTTGTTAGTGGCAGGGAAGGGACAAGGCAAGAACAGCATAAAGTGGCAGCAGTGCTCAGGGTAGGGCTAGGGAGGGGGGAGCGGGAGGGGCATCCGGGCCACCGGAGCTCTCAAATCGCAGGGGGGTCGGGGGGGGGAGGCGCTGGAACGCTTGCACTGACACAAGTGTACCCCGCCCTCCCTGCCTCCCTCCTTCAGTGACGTGGCTTGGGCGAAATATTGTGAAGATTCCCCCCCCCACACACACACGCTTTGAGATCTATGCACCTCCCTCCCTCTACAAACAGCCACCGCCCCAGGGTGGGGCGAGAGAGGGGTGGGGAAGAATGGTCTTGAGGGCCTCCCTCTTCTCGCAAAGCTGGGGAGCCGAGGTGAGGGGGGGGAAATGTGGGATCCTTTAATAGATGGGCTCCCCCCCCTCCTCTGCCTAGGAGGCAGTGACGCGCAGCGTCTAGCTGGTAGAGCCAGGGAGCCCGAGTAGCGGGGGGAGGGGAGCAGGAAAAGGGGTGATCTGGGGCGGGGACCCAGAGCAGCGCTCCCTATGAGTCAGCAGCGCGCGAGCGCCCTCTCCCGCCACCTGGAGGGACTTCAGGCCCGAAAGAAGGGGGGCGGGGTGTGTGCTCCCGCGTGCGGGGCTAGAGGGGGGGCAGTTGGGTGGGAGAGACAGACAAGACTCCATCAGAGGTGGGGGGAGAAGCAGGAACGCCGCTACCAACTCTAGGAAGGTTTCTCCCCCGTGACCTAGCCCAACCCCTCTCCTTTGAAAAGAAAGGGGTGGTGGTGGCAGAGAGGGCAAGCAGCTGACCCAAGGTCACACAGCCGGGAGCAGGACCATTTCTGTTTCAAAAGTAGTGTTTGGTCCTCATTCCTACCCTCGCTCTTTAGAGTCGAAAACATTCACGTAGAGGCCCACAGACAGACCGTCACACAAACCCACACACTCCAACTCCCTTTAGACTTTTAGACGCCCAACAGCCCAGGATTGGAGAGTGTTTCTTGGGCTCTCCTTCCCCCATCGGGCATCTTGGAGAGGACTAAACCTCCCAGACAACTTGAGAATTCTTCCTCCGGGGGTCTCGTCTTCCCCCCCCCCAATTCCGCTCTTTGCCACTCCATTCCCCCCACGATGCCGCGGTCCCTGCGCTGAATCCACTCACCGATCAAAACCGGAGCTCCACTCCCGAATCCCGCAAAATTTTTAAAAATCAAAAGCCCTCCCGAATAATCCACAAAATCTGCCCTCGAAGTACGAGTCAAGGTACGGGAATCTAGAATCCAGGAAGAGTGGGAGGAGGAGGCCGAGGGTTAGCCGGCTGCCCAGTGACTGTGGCCTGTTTGGGAAGCGCTAGAAGTTTTTATCCGCCCCCTCCCTCCCTGTCGGGGTGGAGTCTGGGCGGATTCCCGGCCCCCGGGAGCAGAACCGCCCAGGGCTGCCCCGCCGACTCAGCAGCCCGAGAGGGAGCGGGCAGGCGGGTGACGCAACCTTCACCTGGCACCCTAGGTCTAGGGCGGGGGTGGGGGTGGGGAGGAGGGGGTCATTACCCAGATCCATCCCTGTCTTCCCTTGCCCACTCGGACACGGGTCGCTACGCAGTGGCCTGGACCCTTCTCCCCAGTGTCCAGGGCTGGGCCCTTGGCTTCCCTATCTGCCTTCTGCCCTTCTGCCCTTTCCTGTCCCCGTGTCTCTGCGGCTCAGGATATCCATATCTGTTTCCCTATTTGTCTTCCTATATCTTTGTCTCTATTTCTCTCTGTTTCCAGGTCTTGTGTTTCTGCATTCTCACGGTTCCAGGTCTCTGTCTCCATGTTTCTGTCTATTCTTGGCTGAAGCTATAATGGCCTTGTCTTCTTGTCTCTTTCCTATCTGGGCTAGGCTGGGTACTAGGAATCCCAGAATCTACCCTGCCTAGAGGTGACCTTGTCCTTGGGGGGGTGGGGGTGGCGGGAAGAGGGGCTGTCTTTCCCTTTCTGTAACACAGCCCAGGGGCTGATGGGAGGGTGAGGAGAAGGAATGCTTACTAACAACAAGGGAATGACCCAGGGCTGGACCATAGGGTTCAGACTAGAAAGGTACCTTTCATTTTACAGTTGGGAAAACTGAGGCAAAAAGAGACTGGGTCCCAAGGTCATACAGTTATGCTGCTGCAGACAGGATTTGGACCGATGCCCACTAAGGCTGAGCTCTTTCCTCTATGCCTGAATGCCTGGGAGTCAGGAGACCCAGCTCTGGACTGGAGAGTCCAAGCTCCACCCCTGAATGATTATTTGACCTTGGCCGAGTGCTGTCCCCTCTCGGGTCCTCAGTTTTCTTGCCTGGCACTGATAACTAATCCCCTCCCCAGGTCTGCCATTGTGTGATTCCCTTATTTGGAAGAGGGGGCTCAGCAATGTTTCTCCCAATTTCCCACCAGCTGCAATGCTTTGAGACTTCTCTGGGATTCTCCATCTTGCTCCTCTTCCACTGGGTACCATCTCCCCCCCCCCCTTCTCAGCTTTGTGTGTTGTCTTCTCCCATTGAATTGTAAGCCCCCTTGAGGGCTGGAACTATCTTTGTTTTGGTTTGTATTTGTACACCCAGTTCTTAGCACATAATTTGGTACGCAGTAGACCAGGGGTGGGGAACCTTCGGCCTTGAGGCCACATGTGGCCCTCTAGGTCCTCAAGGGCAGCCTTTTGACTGAATCCAAACATCACGGGAAAAAATCCCTTTAATAAAAGGATTTGTTCTGTAAAACTTGGACTCAGTTAAAAGGCTGCACCTGAGGACCTAGAAGGCCACATGGGGCCTTTAGGCTGAGGGTTCCCCACACCTGCAGTAAGCTCTTAGTAAATATTTATTGGCTGGCTGATTATTTTTAAATATATTTTTATTTCTTGTTTTTATTTATTTATTTAAATTTTCCACACTTACATGTAAAAAAATTTAAGCCATCATATTTTCTAAATTTTGAGTTCCAAATTCTCCTCCTTCCTCTCTCCTTTCCCCCCTCCTTGAGAAGGCAAGCTATTTGATGTCGAATATACATTCAAAGTCATGCAAAACATATTTCCATATGAGCCCCGTTGAGAAAGAAAACAGACAAAAAATAAAACAAGAAAAATAAAGAAAGTAAAAGGTGTGCTTCAGTCTGGATCCAGAGCTCATTAGTTCTCACTCTGGAGCTAGTTAGCATTTTTCATCCTGGGTCCTTTGGAATCTGACTAGTTAGTCAGATACAGAGGAGATACGGGTTTTAGTGCTGGTTCTACCAGTGATTTGCCTGTGTGACCTTGGACAAGTCCCTTCTCTCTGGGCCTCAGTTTCCTGATCTGATACGTGAAGGGGTTAGACGTGAGGGGCTGAGCTGTAAAGGCTCTTAAAGATCTGCAGATGGGGGCAGCTAGGTGGCTCAGTGGCTAGAGCACCGAACCTGGAGTCAGGAGGATCTGAGTTCAGATCTGACCTCAGACACTTGACACTTACTAGGTGTGTGACCCTGTTATGTGTTAACCCCGTTGCCTAGCCAAAAGAAAAAAAAAAGATCTACAGATGAATTTCAGGCTGGCAATCAGGAGAAGGCCCAGGTTTCAGTACTGACTCTAATACTAAATGTGTGATTTTGGACAAATCCCTTCCCCTCCCTGGGACTCATTTTCCAAATCTGGAATGACAGGATTGGACTAGTAGATCTCTAAGGTGCTGTCTAGCTATAAATCCTATGATTATATTGTTATTTCCTCTTTCTCCCCCCTTCCCCCTCCCTGCTTCCCTTGCAACCCCCATTGGAAATCAGAATTCTCCCTTTTGTGGATTGAAACCCAGGCATCCTCCTTGGCCATGGCCCTCCATCAGATTGTCGGGGGTATCTTAGATTCTCCTTCTCTCCCTGGAGGGATTGGTGGTGAGGTTGGGTTATTCTGGGAGCTGAGCTCAGGCCTGGGGGGGAGGTGGGGTGGAGAGCTGAGGCTCTCCAGTATCTAAAGGCTGCTTCTCCCTATCAGCCTCCCCTCCCCTGTTCCAGCCTCTCCCAGGGCCCCCCACCCTGCCCCCTTTATCATCTCCACCCACCTTCGTCCCTCCCTCCCTCCCTCCCTTCTCCAGAACCCAGAGTTGACCTTCAAGCCTCTGCTGCTTTTCTGCCACAGAAGTACCTAATAGGAAAGCTTAATATGAAGGACCTTAGGGAAAGAGCTGGCATCTCTGCAGTCCTTTTCAATCATGCAAAGAAAGGGCTCTGCATACATTATCTCATGCCAGCTTGTCTACCCTGTCACCAGTGATTGTCCCAAGATCACAAGGCTTGAAAGTGTTAGCGCTGGGATTTGAAGTTGGGTCTTTGGCCCCCTCTGTGGTGGGCCAGACTGCCAATCTTGACTTCCCAGACTGGCGGTTCACTGAGAGCAGGGACATCTATGTTCTAAGTCTGCCCATGGTATTGATATGCGTGGGGGCTGGCCAGGACAGACAGAGGTGGCTGATGGGGATTTGTTGAATGGACTTCTCCCATTTCTTAGAGCCTTTCTTTGCTGGGCCCTGTATGTGTGACGTTCAAGCTCCAAGACTTTGCTCCCTGATTTTAAAAAATGGGAAAATTGGTTCCCAGAAGAAAAGGAACTTTCTTAGGGTCACTCACTAGTTAACAAGCTTAGTCGAAAAGAACTTATTAAGCACCCCCTGTGTGCTAAGCACTAGGAATATGAAGGCAAAAAAAAAATCTACCCTCAAGGATTGTGGGTAGATAACTAGGTACATGCAATTAGGAGGTAATCTTAGAAGGTATAAATGGCAGCTAGAATAGAGCACTGGACCAAGAGCCAGGAAGGTTCCTCATCAAGAGTTCAAATCTGGTCTCAGACACTTCCTAGCTGTGTGACCTTGAACAAGTCCCTTAACCCTGTTTGCCTCAGTTTCCTCATTTGTCTTTTTAAATTTTATTAATTTATTTTGATTTATCAACAATAACTTCCATATTCTTTTGAGTTGAAAATTTTTCTCCCCCTTCCTCCTCCCCAAGATGGTGCACAATCTAATATAGGCTTTATATTTACATTCCTATTAAACATATTTTCACATTAGTGAAGTTGTAAGTAAAAATTAAAACCAATAGGAGGAACCATCAGAAAGATGAAACAAAACTCAATAGAAGGTAAAAATAAGTGAGAGCGATTCGACTTCCATAGCTCTTTCTTTGGATGTGGACAGCATTTTCCATCATGTCAGTTTCCTCATTTGTAAGATGAGCTGGAGAAGGAAATGGCAAACCACTCCAGTTATATTTGCCAATAAAATCCCTGGACATGATCACAAAGAGTCAGAGATGACCGAAAATCTCTGAGGGAAGGTACTAGGTGGGACACAGAATGGCTTCTTGCAGAGGGTGGGATTTGATTTAATTTTTGAAGAAGCCAGAGAAACTAGCCATCACAGATGAAGGAGGGAAGGCATTCCAGGCATTAGGGACAACCAGTGGAAAGGCACAAACATGTGAGATTGGGCTATTATGTTTGCAGAACAGCAGCAGAGACTGTGGAGCTGGGTCATAAAACTCATGGAGCGTAAGAAGACTGGAAAGGGGAAGGGGCCAGGCTGCCAGGTAAAGATGAGCTTTAAGTATCCTGGAGGTACCTGGGAGCCACTGAGGTTTATTCAGTGGGGACGATCTGCCATGGTCAGATTTGCAGGGGGTTAGGAAGAGTTGGAGAGTCAATTGGATCACTTTGGAAACTGAGTGGAGAAGGGCTTGTGGAGGGGAGAGCCTTGCAGGAGACTGATGAGGAAGGTATTGTTCTGGTACCTGGGAGAGGGAATGGAGAGCCTGCCTGTACCAGGGCTGTCCATGAGTGAGAGGGGATTTGTGTGGGAGTGGAGCTGCTACCCCAACCTAAACAGAGCTCTTGCCACTCCACCGGGAAGCCTCTCGTTGGATGAAAAGAACCAATGAAGCAAGACAGTGCCTGCCCTCTAGAAGCTTACATTCTAATAGGGGAGACAAAATATATAGGGATAGGAGACTGGCGGTGAAGGCAGGGAAGATGGATCTAGGAGGTCACTGGGATTGTGAGTGGAGCCACTGGAGAGTTAATTATCACACAGGCCCTTTCCAAAAGCAATGATAGAATTGATCTGATTACTGTTCTAAGTGCGAGGTACAAATTATATCAACAAAGATTTATTAAGTCTGTGTGGTGCCTGGAGTCCGGAAGTCCTGAGTTCAAATCTGGCCTCAGACATTTCCTAGTTGGGTGACCCTGGACAAGTCACTTAACCCGTTTGCCTCAGTGTCCTCATCTGTAAAATGAGCTGGAGAGGGAAATGGCAAACCACTCCAGTATCTTTGCCAAGAAAACCCCAAATGGGGT